GTGGCAATCCTAGAGGCAGTCTTGGTCGGAAAGGCAGTCTTCCACTGGCAGCAGCATTGAGTAGGCACACGAGGGGGCCTAGAAAAAGGCCCTCATTCAAAATACGCCCTGTGGTATGAAAGCAAGTGAATCTGAACAGAGAACCAAGAAAAGGAACACGGTAACATCAGAAATTCTAGTTTTCCGTGTCTACTTTCAGTAAACATGGAGTTGCCTTTTCTTTTTTATAAACATGAAAGTAGGTAAAAGTTTAATAACTTGTCTAAACCCTCATTCCGACCCAGGCATACCTGGGATTATTACCCTGACACTAAATCTTCTTTGAACACTGCTTGGAAAGCACTGAGAGAAGATGTTTCTGGAATTTTAACTGGTTCATGATGTACGAGGCAGAATATATCAGTTTATCAGAATTTCAGAATTTTTAATTGTGAAATCTCTGTTCAATGGGGACAGGTACACTGGGAGGGATGTGACTGGCCTGTATTTTCAGAAGAGGTGAGGACAAACCGTGTGTGTGTGCGCGTGTATGTATGTATGTGAGAGTGATTCTGTAGGACCAGGTTCTGGGTTGAATTGGCAGGTTTCCGCTGAAGGGATCATTACAGCACAAGGCAGCTCATGTCCCGGAAGGAATCCAGGTTGTATAGCAGTGTTGGTGCATAGTATGGCCAGGATCACGGACAGCAGTAGCCATGACTATTGGGCAGGAATACTGGCCCTTTTCACGTGTATGTATATGAGAGTGATTCTGTAGGACCAGGTTCTGGGTTGAATTGGCAGGTTTCCGCTGAAGGGATCATTACAGCACAAGGCAGCTCATGTCCCGGAAGGAATCCAGGTTGTATAGCAGTGTTGGTGCATAGTATGGCCAGGATCACGGACAGCAGTAGCCATGACTATTGGGCAGGAATACTGGCCCTTTTACATTAAAAGTCACAAGCCCAATATCAAATTCCTCAGGATGCATTGGTCAGAAGCATTGACACAATAACATCTTTTTTTAGCTCCGTGGGGATCACCATGGTCAAGCAAACTCAATTTAAACCAGGGAGAGAGAGAGGGTTTAAAAGAAGGGCAAGAGGAAAAAGGAGGAAGTTATCCCAAAGCGAAGTGGGGGTGACTAATACTCTGATCCTGCAAGGCTGTCTCACAGCTGCAGGAGAATTTCTTCCGTCTTTTCAGGTGAGTCATGCTGTGGGAGAAACCACTAGAATTTTTTCTTGGAAGTGAGAGTTGGACAGAAGCTTGTCTGTCAACTTTTCCTGAAAATTCTGTTTGGACAATCTGGAGGACAGACAAAATGCAGTGGCTTCTAGGGACCAGACTGTGCAGTAGTCCGGTGGAGCTATTAGAGGCTCTGCCTAAACTTCGATTTGTGTGGGGGAAATTTGGAGGAGACAGCACTGTGCTCTGCTCTTCACGGAGTAACTGAGCGCTCGTCAGCTGAGCCCTGAGTGCCACGTGGACGCGAACCAGGAGCACCGTTCCCTGCCTGGGTGCGAGGGGTGACGTTGCCATCGTGCGCTTCATTGCCAGTGCCCGCCTGCTCTTTCACATGCACCAAATGTGCACATGGATGCAGCTCAGCAAGCCGAAAGGGGGTGACAATAACAAAGGGGATGAATTGAGGGTTGGTATGGTGGCCACGTATCTCCAGAGCCCTTCCCCGCACCTCCAGAAAAGCCTGGAATTGAGACCTGCGGGTGTAAACAGGCTGGGTTGTTTTGAAGAGTAGAGCATGCACAGGTAACGGTTTCCTGGACATGCGCAGTGCACTGAAACTGCACCTGCGCCACCAGAACAGAGCGGCAACACGTGCGGTGGCTCCGGCAACACTGGGATTTAGAA